CTATTATACCATATACAGATAAAAAGGAACCCCTAAAAACCTATTCTAGTTATTAAGGCCTCTAAATTACTCGAGTATGGCATACATCGGAGATTAGAATAGGGTTTCGGGTCGGGCCTGGAGGCGGAGGACAAGAGAGGCGCCCTTAGCCCTGCGGCTGAACATGCCGAGCTATGAACACTACAACTTGGTATGGTGTAAAAACAAGATCAGACAAGACAAGACGAGACGAGACGAGACGAGACAAGACAAGATAAGATAATATAAGATAAGATAAGCTAAGACATGCGATAGAAATAAGACAGATACCTTATGTAGCTAACATAAGAAAATACACATGTTTTACAGACGTCACACTCACATCATGTACTACCTGTATACTTGCCGCATAATAGAGCCTTAGAGTAACCTAAACTTCAGAGGCTTTGCATGAAAAGATCGGATTGTGGGATACTGGCATCTTGTCAAGGACTCAAACTTGAAGTCTCACCAAAACGGAAACCGTATCATGTGCTATAGACCTGTATCATGGCAGCTTGAATCAAACTCCTGAGCAAGAACCCTGAAGTTACAAAGACCATTCCTGAGGGTTCCTTGATATGGGTAGTTGTCAAAATTGTGGTCCCTTTTGGGGTACCCTAAATAATAGGTGCCGTATTATAATAAGGACCCACAAAAAAACCAGAATTTTGACAACCAGCCATATAACTTATATAACTATCCGGATTAGGGTCTAGGGTCAAGGGTTTCGGACTTAGGGTCTAGGGTTTAGGGTTTAGGGTTTATAAGCCCGGAGCCGAAACCCTGCAAGAGCCAAGGTAGTGTCTGGTGCAGCTGCATTGATATCTAGGATTGGAGAGTTGAGTGCATCAATGTGTCCAGATCGATGACTCCAGGTTAGGATTGCCCTTATTAATCCGTGGTATGTACGTTTATACGTATACACTGTAATATATACGATAGTTCATAAGTCATGCAGTACCACATAATATGTCGCTGTATAGAATAGAATAGACCATAATGTATACTATAATTTACACTCGAATATACAGTTTAACAAACACTGTACTATACGCTACAGTTTATTCAGCTGTTACACTATCTATACTTGCTTACATGTCCCTGCATCGTGAACGCTGTGTGGATAGCCCTCTCAGGACGTCCGTGGAGAACCGCTGTCCATCTGGCATGCGCTCGGGCAGAGGCTGGGTGAACTATCCTGCTAATTCGGCTTCTGTTTTATGCTGTACGAATCTGCCTACGGTGCCGCTGACCAGTCGGTTCTTTTAAAACATTCAACATTGCTTAGTTGCAAGCAGATTGTGTACCGGCTGTTGCGCACGGTGCTGTTCTGTTTGGGACCATGCCACATGTTTTTCGGCTCGGCGACTTCCAGCTCTAGAATCCCCCAGCGATGCATGTAGATTCTGTCACCTAGGGTTAAATCCAAAGCCGGAATGCCGGCATGCCTACAAGCATAGACTCCAAAGCAAGGACACCAAGTTGGTGAGCCCCGTCATCTTGCAAGATCTTGTCTTAACAAAACCATCGGAATAGAACATCCTGGACGACTGTGGATGTCAAAGCTTCTACAGCATTCCCAATCTACAACCTTTGCCGGTGAAGCAAATCCTACCTAGACCCTACCACTTTCAGGACTTATAACATAACGAAATCCTAAACCCTAGACCCTAAACCCTAATAGGGAGCCCTGTTTCAGGACTTATGACATAACGAAATCATCAACCGTAAACCCTAAACCCTGATAAGGAGAATAGGGAACCCTAACAAGGTAGGTTCTTTAGGGTCCAGGTAAACCCTGAGCGCTCGGAGGTCTGGTGTGGGCCTTCCACCTGAAAGCTGCAACCAACCTCCGTCTCCGGGCCTTTTACATTTGGGTTAAGGGTTTTTCGGTTTAGGGTTTTTTCGGTTTAGGGTTTTTTCGGTTTAGGGTTTTAATTAGGGTTTAGGGTTCAGGGTTTAGGTAGTGAGGGAGCCAACGGCGGGCCTTGTTTCTGACGTTTCTGTACCCCTCTTGGACCCAAAATCACAAATCCAGTTTTGATAAACCGTTGGGTCAAAAACACACAGTGCTTGGGGTTTCAGGGAAGCGGCCATGATGAGCTGTGCGGTGAGGCGCTGCCAAGACAGCACCTCGGTTTTCAAATAAGCCTAGAGGATAAGATAGAGATAGGGCTCTGGCTTGTAGTGACTGTAGTGGTTCGGCAATTGAGGCGACGTCCCTGTAGAAGACTGAAGTATGAGTCTGGGGTTTTGTGTTTCAAGCGGCTCGGCTTTGGGGCGACGCCTGTAGAAGCTTCGGGGGCTGGTGGCAGTTGAGCAGTATACTGGGTTCTTGTTAAGGGATTTAATTTAAGTTACCATAATAGGGATCTATAGTAAATAAGATGGTTTCCTTATTATGGTAACTTAAATTAAATCCCTTAACAAGAACCCAGTATAGCTTGAGGGGTGTTAGGGATGGAATTTTGGGGGCTGTCGGACGGTGTTTCCGGGATAAAGGCGCAGGATCTGGAGTGATGGACGTAATCATGCCTCCCTCCTGCCCTGTTTAGGCCCGAATGGGGCATCCTAAACCCAGAAGTTTAGGGTTTAGGGTTTAGGGTTTAGGGACTAAGTTAATAAACACCTGCTGCCGCCCACCAGATATGCCTTGAAGTGGTACATTACCTGGTAACCGGGCATCCTACCTGAGGCCATAAGCCCTAAAGGCCCTAAATTTAGGGGTCCTTTAGGGTTTAGGATTTAGGGCTTAGGCTAAACCGCCGTGAACCCTTTCTGATCTGAAGCCGTCAAAGTCGTAAGTCTTGAACTCCGAGCCATCCACCCTGAATCGAGCCTAATAGCCTACAGTCTGCAAGCCTACAACCCCCAAAACCCCAAATCCAAAAACCTGAACCCCAAACTCTACAAAACCCTATACCCTAAACCCAAAACTACGCCCCTCCAAAACACTGCCATGCCCCCCTAAACCCCAAGCCCTAAACCCTCGGAGAGCTACTGCCATGGCCATGCCAAGCCGCAACCGCCTCCGGGATGACAAAACCGTCATCCTGCGGGTGTAGCGTGTGGAGGCTTTGGCCTATGGGATGTTGGGATGCAGGGTTTGAGGTTTAGGGTTTAGGGTTTAGCATTTGAGGTGTAGGGTGAGTGGTTTTGGAACTTCGGGTTTGGGGCTTTAAGAATTTAGGGCTTAGGAGTTTAGGGATAAGGGTTCAGGGATAAGGGTTTAGGGGTTTAGGGGTTCAGGGGTTTAGGGGTTTAAGGGTTTAGGGTCTAGGGTTTGAGTGTTTTAGGCATGGCTTGAGGGGTTGAGGGCCGCTGAAGCAACCCCAGGATGACCCCTTGCGCCCGGCTTCTGGGTTCCGATCGTGCCGCTTTTTCGATACCGGGGCTTTAGGCTTGAACCCTAGACCCCTATATAACCCTAAAGCCCACGATTGAGGGTTGATATTTTGAGATTGGCACACTTCTCGATTTGTGCGGTTGAGGGGTTACTGTTTAGGGCGTGGGGTAAGGGATCGTGTGAGATTGAGGATTTCTGAGGTTTCGCGGACTTTTGGATTTCGGCCTTTGGCTTCGGGGTTTTGGAAACTGGGTCTGGGGCATGGGGAACGGGATCTACCATGTGGGCTTCGGGATTGGATAGAGGATTTAGGGCTGAGGGTTTAGGGTTTACTTGTTTAGGGTTTAGGGTTTAGGCATAGTATCACGTTATGCCTAAACCCCTGGCGCGGGATGTTCAAGCAGCCATTGGCAACATCACACGCTGATTTAGCACAAACGGGGTACAGCAAGCCATGAATAGACTGGGCAGGATGATAGGCAGGGAATTTCTTAGAGAGTGTCTCTATTTCAAGAAATATTCTACCGTTTGGGGTCTACACTGCATCATTTCGTGTACCGAACATAGCTTCTTAGGCATCGCTGGATGTGGCTTGCAGAACATATAGGAGCCTCCAGCACCTCCATCCTCCCTAAACCCCAAACCCCAAACCCAAACCCAACCTGCCAGCACATGCCCACGGATCCTGCAGCCCACATCGACCGGATGTCCCAAAAGCCCATCCCGACCACCCGCTAATACCACGCACCAACGAAGCCCTGAAGCCCGAAACCCCGAAACCCCTAAACCCCTAGACCCTAAACCCTAAAACCCCCAAAACCCTAAAGCCCGAAACCCTTAGACCCTAAAGCCCTAAAGCCCTAAACCCTAAATGAACCCTAAAAAGCCCGAAACCCGCAACTCTCGCAAGCTCCGACTTCTCCTCCGGCGTCTCAAAGGCCGTCCTTTGAACTTTGGTCTTTTAGGGCTTAGGGTTTGAGGGTTTACGGCAGATGGAACCCAGAGCAAGACAATTAGGGGCCCTCTCAGATCGGTGTCTTGAGTTCCAGGGAGTTTGGGGTTTAGGGTCTAGCGGTACGGGAGTTTGGGTTTCGGGTTCAGGGTGACTTCTGGAGTTCATGAGTACCTGATTTAGCGGTCCTGATGGTCAGGATCCTGCTCGTAGTGCTTTAAGGTCTTGCTTTGGGCCCCCCTGCTGGTTTTCTCTAAACTTCCGCTCTTGCAGCTGTGACGTGTTGACATCCAGAGACGTGTCACTCTGTGTCAACACGTACACGCACGGATCCAGCAACTTCCTACTCCACAGATGCAGGTTTCGAGAGTCATCTTCCGACATCTTCCGGCATCTGCTGTGAAGAACCCCCAAACCCTATATATATATATATATATATATATAGGGTTCTGGATCGAGTTGGTGTCACTGAACACCAACATTGCTAGAAGCCCCAGTGCGGTAGCACGTGACCCAGCCATAAAGTCACCGGCGTGGCATCGCCGACAGCGCCTTGTCAGGGCGAGAGCTCGCAAGAGGATCCACTCTGCGAGAGCGGCTGGAGTTCATCCACCCCGCAAGGACATCGAGCTTCTTGCGGCTCACCATAGCCGCCCGGCATACCGCGAGCAGCGAAGACACATGGGCCGCGGTCAGAAATGGCAGGGAGAATGGCAGCAAGGCTCTGCTGCGTCCTGGTGGCAGGATGGACAGTACTGGGCCCGACAGAGCAAGCCCAGGAACCAGCAGGGACGACATGGAACCGAGTCGCAACAAGGCCCCGTCTTCCCCACCTTCGACATGATGCCGGTCCAAGATGGCAGACAGGACAGGCCGCAGGCAACTGCCAGTACGGGACAAGCAGAGCAGAGCAACGGTGGACTCCTACACTCAGTGCAGAGAGCAATCAATGCGGTGAGAAAGATCGAGACAAAGAACCGCAAGACCGAGCAGGAGCTCGAGGCCACCAAGGAAAAATGGGAGACCTTCCAGAAAGGTCTCAAACAGACCTTCATCCAAGAGCGTACCAAGTACCTGGAGAAGAAGGCCAAATTGGTGGCGGAGAAGCAGGAGCAAGAAGCGGCTCAGGCAGAGGCACTGGCAGAGCTGAAGGAGGCCTTTGCGAATCCCAAGAGAAAGGCTGGCCGGAAGCCAGAGATCGACGAGGATGCCCTGCAAGAATGGGAAGCACTGATGCAAGAAGCGGGCAACAGTGGAGGCGGAGTCGCGGACAGGCTCCTCAGGGCCCTCGAGGACAAGGAGCAGCTGACCGATATGACGAAGACCAAGATCATGGAGATTATTACGGGGAACCGAAAGAGCGAGGAGGAGTTCACCCCACCCCGCCGCAGTACAGCCGCCCCCCGGCGAACCCCCCCCCCGGTGGAGAGACCAGAGAGAAGGACCTCGGACGAGAAGCCATCATACAACGATGTGAGCAGCCCGGGGCCACCAGATCCATACCAAACCTCGCCAGCCGGTGGGGCCCGGCCATCACTGCCGAGATCTACAAGGACGACCAGCCGGCCCAGACACACGTCGCGAATGCCAATCAAGGCCCTCGGGAGAATGCCGCTACCACGACCCAAACAGGGCTCCTCCCTTGCCGACAAGCTCAGCGACCGCCGCAAAACCGAGGCCGACAAGATGGGAGTGGTCTTGGATTCAGACGAGGAAGACGAGGAGATGGCAGTGGGCGACCTGACCAGGCCTCCGGGAGAAGTGAAGCAGGAAGAAGAGTGACCGATCCTGCCGGAACTTGCGGGAATGGACCAGGGCTTTTTCGGTATGTCCCTGGCAACCCTATGAACCTGGCAAGTCATTTTGACGACCAGGGGAGTCCTCATGGAATCGACCTTTTCGGCCTGGTCGAGGCCAAGGACGGAATTTTGGGCTATGAGATTGTGAGGTCGGAGACGAACGGCGGCAGGGGTTGTTCGAGACGACACCCCGCGCACAGAGGCTGCTACGACATCTTCGACTTCCTTGAGATCCTCCAGCAGTGGGGAGGCATACAATGGAAATATCACCTGTGGTGGTTGGTCCAGATGTGCCAAGGCTGGATTTTGTCAATGATGGCGGTTCAATTGATGTCATACATTTGCTTTGTGTGTGGCTATGGTGGCAGAGGGAGAAAGCGCAATAAACTCTATGGCCAAGTTTGCGGTGCATGGGCTGTTGTTGTCGTTACTGGTGCTTGTGGAGCAAGGGGTATGCCCATGGCGCCAAACTACAACCAACGGATTGTGCCAACTACAGACCTTGAATTCTGGGCAGCCGGGCAAAGAAGCCTGGCGGAACAGCTCGAAAACCAGCGGGCCAGGTGGGCAATGGATGCCCCCTTGGAACATAATGCTGGAGAGGCTAGACTGCCAACGTTTCATGTGGACCCACCAGGGACGCTGCCTATGCGAACTGATCTGGAACCAATGTTGGCCACCGAGGTGCATATCAGCATATGGGTGCTGGCGCCATACTCTGAGGCCGAAATGATTGACATCGAAGTAAACTTCCCGGTGAACCAGGACGTCCTCGTCGAGGCGATCAAGACCTCGGCGGGCATCATACCGGACTACATGGACGAGCTGATTGCCACCACCCTGCAGATCAACGACAACTATGCCAGCTACCTAGCCACTCCAGGGTGGTTGAAGCAAACTGACCGCACTGCATTGGTGATGGACACCAGAGCGGTAGGGGGAACAGTTTACGGATTCTATGCCAATACCACTTTGACGAAGGAGGCTGTGCTTCAAAACATCATCGATGTGGATGTTGATGATGTAAATATCTTTGCCTTTGGCAGCACGTCCAGGCTCCGATCAGCCAACCCAATCGAGGCAAAGCCGGGAGGTGTGGTTCAAATTCGGCGCAAAGGAGATGAGTGTGAATGGTCGGACAGATTGGAATCCCGGCTTCTCTTTCCGCAACGATGGAACCCCGCCGTTGACCCGCCGCCCCCACGAGAAGGCCTGCATGCCATCTACCAGTCGCAGGATGACCAAGCGGTGCAGGAAATCTGCTCGGACGACGAGCAGTCTATTGAGGCAACTGCAGCTGAAGCGTTGGAGCTGCCCACAACGGATCATTGGGTCACTATACCGGAGACGAAGTTCTTCCGCCTGGCCCACGCTGGCAAGCGCATATGGGAGCAATATGCTGTCCTAGAAGGCGAACCCCCTGAAGAGACAGAGCGGGCCGTCATCTTCCTGGACCTCCGCGGGCTCACGCATTTCCCACAATGGATGCAGGCCCCGACAAAGCTATTCAACCCGGCGGATTATGTGCAGGGACTACAGCTTCCGCGGCTTCGTGGATGGACCCTGATTGTGGAGGGTGGCGAGCCAATCGAGGACACTGGCAAGATCAGTGTACGATCGGGTGAGGTTCTCACCCTATATCTACGAAGAACAGCGGGGGACGAGGATTCCATGGAAGTCGATGACGAGAGCAGTGACAGCAGCTCTGGAGATAGTGGTGACGATAGCGACCCGGACAGCTACGACCTTGACGCGGAGGAGACAGACGGCGAGCCACTACCACCGAGGACAGGCAACAGTCCAAGGAGAGGGCCGCCCCCACCGCAACCAGTGAATCGGAGCAGGTCGCCGAGAAGACGAGATGGTACCAACCATCCGACGGCCCCACAGGAGAAGCGAACATTGGCCCTTGATGATCATTTGGGCACCCCAGAGTATGACTTGACCCGCATGTCACTCCGAATGCCACACGCGGGTGACGCAGTGAGGCCAATTGTGACGCCGTGGAGTCTTGATTGGCTGTGGTATGACCTTGGCAAGATCGAGCTACATCCAGCTGCCAAGGAGGCCGTGGAACAGGCAGGCAGTTGGAAAGACTTGCTGCTACAATGGACCGGAGAGCCCATTGATTTCCACTTATACACCGATGGATCTGCGAAGGACTCGGGCAATGCCAGTGGATACAGTGTTGTGATCCTGATGAAGGTGGGAGCAGCAATCGCGCTGCTCAGTGTCCTGGGAGAGCAGGTCCTAGGAAACGCTGACACCATGTGGCCATGTAGCGGGGCTGCCGTCATTGATGCGGAGCAGATTGCGGTGTCAGTCGCTATCTTATGGGCCATACAGATGAGGGCGACTATACCACAAGTACGGTGTACGGTGCTCTTTGACTGCCTTGCGGCTGGATATGGAGCATCAGGAGAATGGAGCACATCAAGTGCTTTGGGCGACAGGATGAGGAATCTCGACCTCATGGCCCAAGGCATAGAGGGATTGTGCATTGAGTATGAACATGTCAAGGCCCACTCTGGATGCGGATGGAATGAGGCAGCGGACTGTGTGGCCAAGGCTGTCACGAGTGACATACAATGCGCTGCCACCCCACCGCAACGAGTCGTCCAAGCCTTCCTGAATGTGGACCTTGGTTGGGCAGGATTCGGCCTCCGAGCTGCAGTGGATGGATCTGTACCCTTTGAAGGGGCAGCTGTTGCATGGAGTGACGAACCTTTCCGGCCTTTCCAGATTGGGGTGGACCAGCTGATTCCGACTGTGACGACATCCCCAATGGATAACAGCGAACATCATGAGGACCAACCCTTCCACCTGAAAGCTTGCACCATCAACATTCAAGGGATCGCGGGCAACTTCAGGTACATCGAGGAGCAGCTTGACAAGATGGACATGAACATTGTGTTTGTCCAGGAAACCAAATCCAGAGGTGGACAATGCAAAAGCAAGTACTACTACAGGTTGGCGACCGACGCATGCAAGCATTTTGGCGTGGCTATCTGGTTCCATGCCTCTAAGGGTGCATTGGTCATCGATGATGTTCCACAATGTATCCGAGAGGAAGACATCGAGATACTACACCAGGACCCGCGCTTGCTGTTTGCTACGATCCAAATTGGAGGAAGAAAATTTGGACTAGCATCGGGGCACTGCCCCCATGCAGGCCGACCAACGGAAAGGGATCATTTCCTGACAACCTTTCCGGACTTATCAAGAGAACAAAGGCCGCACAGATCCTCTTGTGCGGCATTGACCTGAATGGCCGGGTCCCCAACGAATATGACATGGTTACTGGGGATTTGGTTTGTGATGAGCCAGATCAGACAGGAAGATCCTTTGTTGACATCCTGGCCACGGCTGGGGTATGGATCCCATCTACATACCGCGATCTTCACAAAGGTGATCCCTACACGTACTGTCACCCATCAGGTGCTGAAAGCCGTATAGACTACCTCCTCGTTGGTGGAAAGGCGGTGGTTAATGGGGCATGCAGCGAAGTTATACCTGAGTTTGACAACGGGAGCCCTAACATTGATCATCGCTTGGCTGCGGTTATGTTGGCGGGAACAATGCAGGCGAACCATGGAAGGCGACGACTATGGCGTCCTACATTCGACCTGGGCAAGATGGCCACCGAGGAAGGCAAGGCCATTCTCAGCAAAGCATGCGCGACATTCAAGCAGCCAGAATGGGATGTTCACCCTGATGAACACTGCCAGATGCTACAGGACCACCTGCTATGCTGGCTGCAAACCTATTTCGCGACTGATCCAGGAGGCGGGCGTGCCTCCTATATCCCGGCTGCGGTGTGGCAGCTGAGAGACAGCAAGAACAGATTGAAGAGGATTACACGCCACCGCAAAATCCGATGGATGAGCTTTCGACAACCAGTCATGCAACGATGGAAGGCGAACTACGCGGATGACTTTGAGATCAAAGTAGCCAAGCAGTGCCTTCTATATGAAGTCGCGGCAGCTGCTATTGCGGTCGCCACGAAGAAGATCAAAACAATGATTGCGACGGCAAAGGATGCCTTCCTACGGAATGTTGCGACAGAAGGCCACCAAAGTGTCTCTGCTGTATTGCAGAGAGCCCGAAGGGCAGGCATTGGTGGAAGGAATAAAAAGCCTGTCAGCAGGCCTTTGCCCAAGCTGATTGACCCGAACAATGGTGAGGTGGCCAGATCAGCGGGTGATCGCGACAACATATGGCTCCACTTCTTTGGTGAGCAGGAGCAAGGCGACATTGTGCCAACTGGCCAGTTCATTGAAGAGGCGAGCCAATGGAAGGAGCAGAGTCCTGAGGAGTGGGAGTGGAATCTACTCCCAAGCGCCCTTGAAATCGAGAAGATTTTCCGCAGAACCCCGAAGGGCAAGGCACCGGGATTAGATGGCATACCAAGTGATGTGCTATCGCTATCCCCGTGCGCTGCGGCGCAAATGATCCAGCCCCTCTACTTCAAGGCGATCATCAAAGGACGTCAGCCCCTTCAATGGCGGGGCGGGATCCTCTATGAGGCCTACAAGAATGCTGGACCCACGTGTGATACATCCAGCCACAGATCCTTGTACATCTCCAGTTTTCTGGGGAAGTCCCTGCATAAGCTCATGCGGGGCAAGGTGCAGAACGAAGTCCAAACATTCCTTCATCCGCTTCATTGTGGCTCCAAACAACACACGCCGATCCTCTTCCCATCGCTCTTTGTTGTCGAGCACCTCCGCAGATGTCGGCAGCAGGGAAAGAGCGCAGCAATCTTATTCATAGATTGCCGAGCTGCCTATTATAGGCTTGTCAGAGAGTTGGCAGTGGGAGACATACGAGCGGACCGCACAGTTGAGCGGCTCTTTGCTGCCTTTGGACTGGACGGAGCTGATATTGGGGAACTACGTGACCTCATCGCTGACGGAGGCATGTTCAGAGTGGCAGAAATGCCGCCACAGGTATGTGCTGTGGTCCAGGACTTTCACCGACACACCTGGGCAACCACTCGATTCACTGATGGCAACCAGGTCTGCACATCCAAGGCAGGATCACGCCCTGGAGCTTCATGGGCGGACACCCTGTTTGCATTTATATATGCAAAGATCCTCTACAAGGTCCACGAAATCATGGAAGGCGAGGAAGTGAACTTCAGCTTACCATGGGACAGTACAAGTGGCCCTTTTGCCACTAACCTGCAGGATGAGCCGCAGCCTGCATGGGACACCACTTGGGCAGACGATACTGCCTGGGCGATCGAGGGGAACAGTGCTGAAGAGCTTTTGTCCAGAACCGCCAGGATAAGCTCAGTTGTGATTTCTCTTTTCCGGTCGCATGGATTGGCCCCAAACTTGAAAAGGGACAAGACCAGCATTATCATGAGACTTGTTGGAGCGGGTGCCACCAAAGTTCGGAAGAAATACTTTTCCAGTGGAAAGCCAGAGTTGTATCTGCCAGACCTCCAGGAGGCTATCCCGGTCGTAAAGATCTACAAGCATCTGGGAGCAATGATTGACCCGGCGACCAACTTTGGCAATGAGGTGAAGTACCGGACGGCGTTGGCCAGTGCTGCTTACAACAGTGCAAAAGATTTGCTGCTCAACAACCGTGACCTGAAGCTGGAGACACGCACCTCCATCTTTCAGTGTGTCGTTGTCTCCACCTATTTCAACCTCCCCCTGTGGATTGCGGAGGGACGCGAATGGGAAAAGATGAGCAGTGCATTCTCCAGAATTGTCAGACGGCTATTGGCGAAGGAGATCGACGGCCCGACCTTGTTCCGGGCCCCTCTTCCGCTTATCCACTGGGCGACGGGATGCTGGACACTTGACCTTTTCGCCCGACGCGGGCGGATGTCGGCATTGATCTCGCTGGCCAAAGCAGCACCTGATGTCCTTTGGGCGATGCTACAGAACGAGGGCACATGGAACCATCAACTCTGTAGGGACCTCAGTTGGTTCGTTTCTGAGGAAGAGCGACAATGGCCACAGGCAAATGCAGCGAGCTGGCCACATTGGTGCCATGTTTTGCGGGAGTCGGCGGATCGTATCAAGAGACGAGTCCGCCGACTCAATCATATGGACTTCCTGAAGTACCAAACCAAGGAGGCGGTGTCCATCAGCCTCTGGTCCCTTTACCGAACGATCGCCTGCCCAAGTACCGGGAATCAGCACTGCCGCTTCCGTTGCTTCATGTGTGAGTGCGATTTCAAAAGCAAAGCAGGCCTCGGTGCTCACTTCTACAAAACACATGGCAGAGTAGCAGAGTACCGTAAGTGCGTGGTGGGAACTTACTGTTCAGCATGCCAGACAGAGTACTGGACACAGGGCCGTCTTGAAGATCACCTGCGGGCTTCGGTGAGATGCTCCCGTGTTCTATTGTCACTGGGCAACTTTACAGATGAGATCCCTGCAGGCTACGGAAGCAAGCGCCGGCGGCAACGGGAAACGGACAACTTCACGCCAGCCCCGCCGAGACGAGATGGCGAATTGGCAGGGGAGGTGTTGGAGCAGGCATGGACCCAAGAGCAGAAGGACCTTCATAGGTCCTTATGTGCCTTCGTGCAGGAGGCGGAAGAAGCTACGGAAGAGGATATCGTGGCTGCTACTGATGCGGAGGTCAGGAAGTACCCACTTTACAGTACGGAACTCAGGGAAGTCTTGCAAGCGATTGCCAGCGAGGCGACGGCGCTGCAAGATGATGACGACATTCGGCCATGGAGCGGGCAACAGTTCCGACGAATTTTGTCAGCCCTGGAAACAGTCAGAGCGAGGATCGAAGGGAGCGAGGCCGCCGACAAACAGGAGGCTGAGGAACTCCAGACGAGAAGCTCTTTCGAGAAGGTGGTCAAGGACTACGATTGGACAGAAGCGATCGAAAGTTTCCTTGCAGACAACGGGACCCAGAGTAGTTCGCTGTACATTCTGAAGGAGGGCTGGGAAGCTATGTGGCCCCCGAACAGAGGCGAACGACTTAGCATAGCCGTGGTCAAAGACCCCCTCCAGTTGCTCCCGACTGAACTCCGCTCGCTTTGGTCCGATCTCCTTAAAGGGGTGCGGCCGAAACTACGGGCGGGCAGCTCTTTCTGGAGCCATCCCCTCGCGGTGCCATTTAGGCCCTTTCGCGAGGCACATGCAAGTTGTAATTAGGCGGCGGACACCACTGAACGCATGGAAATGCCGAAATATATATATATATATATATATATATATATATATTTACATACCCCAGAAGGTAGCGGATGCTTGGGCAAAGCGGGGTCTCGCTCTAAGCTGACCACAAAAGGGTGCGATAGTAGGCATTAAGCATGCTCTCTGGACCCCGATGCCAAAACAATGGAACCCAGACTCTTTAAACACAAAACTACTCCAGAATCCCGAAGCCCTGACTCTTAAAGAACACACACACAAACGAAGGAACAACAGACAAATTCCTGAAGAACCAAGCTCCAACCTTGAAGCACTGGTTGTAAATTGTAATTGCCCGCATCATGAACGCACTCGCTCCCAGAACCGCACGCAGGATCCCGACTCTGAAATGCTAAGCCCCAAGCCAGGTCACTGCCAATGGGAATGGGTTTAGGGTTTAGGGTTTAGGGTTTAGGGTTTAGGGTTTAGGGCCGGAGTAGTGCCAGAAAGTATTAAACCGCCGACATCCACACCCTCAAACCCCACAACCCTGCAGGCCAAATACACCAACCCCAAACTTCCTGGTCGGGAAACACGAAAAACACCCGAAAACCCGTTCAGAAAAGTCATTACCACTTTGTCGAATTAATTTAAAGTTTGGGGTTGTCACTACTACGTGTTGTTTGCACAAGGGTGTGGCAGTCTTTGTGGCTTGTACCTTATGTATCGAGAAACACAGCATCCGAAAGCTAAAACAAGAGGGTTGGGGATGGTACTCTCGCTGCGATGCCAAATCTTAAACCCTCGTTAAGCCCTGAAACCTTTTAAACCCTGAGACCCCAATTCTAGGACCCAGATCGAAAGCCTTATAGAGAAGGGTGCAAGGAAGCCTTGAAGGAATCCTATGGAATCTGCAATCTGATCAAGGAGCTGGGCTGCATAACCGTTCGGGGCCTGCGATGTGCTACCTGCCAGGTGCCGGATTTCAAGGCTCCTCTAAGGCTTCGTTTGCTCGTTTACGGACTCCACCCTAAACAAGCCCTAAGCCCTTACATGCTTCTGTTCAGGGCTTCTGTAATTGTCAACAATAAGGGCTTAACGTTTCGGAGTTCAGGGCTTAAAGCTGTTCAGCGCTTTCGGGTAGAGTCCCGGCTTGGGGTCCTGCAATTAGAGTTCCGGGTTTTCACCCTTTGGGTCTTCAGGGCTCAGGGCTGTAGGGTTTAGGGCTTCAGGGCTTGGAAGCCAAGAGCCGTCTTCCTATTTCTCCCAGTGCTGCTGATTGTGAGCAGCTGCCTGGCCCTCTTCACAAGGAACACCTGCCGCCGCAACCCAATTCATCGTACTTAGCGTACTACTTAGGCGACGCTGGTCGTCACCTAGCGACCTAGCACGAACCCATGGACCACCAAACAAAGGGCATTCCCAAATCCTCGGCGAAGCTTTGGCACATAGTCTTCCGATTCACACTTCACCTTTTGGGCAGCCCCGTACCACATGTAACTTTGGTTCTGCCCAAACACCCTTTAACAGTCTATAGTAGAGAGCTTAGGGTTTAGGGTTTAGGGAGTCATATTTAGGGCCACACATAACTATTCCGTAATTCTTGAACAACTGTTACAGAGTTGGGGCAGCACCCAACCCTAAACCCTAAACCCCAACCAACCCTGTGTAACATTAGTCGTGATCCAGAAACACTATGGGAGCTAGGATTAGGGGGACCCTTGGGGATATAGACCCTCTCAATAAGGTCCCTTTTCAGAGAGCCCAAAGTTGGGTTCAGAAGGGGTACCCTTTAAGGGGTACCCCTAAGAATACTACCTACACTAAGCAGATAGCCCTGAAGCTTCATGAGACATGATCTCCAGATTCCTTCAGCCGTGATGTAGGGCCTTGGCAGTTTGAATGGGGCAGTGGGGCAAACTATGCGAGAATTATGAACAGGAGCCCTACGGAATCGTACTACTAATTATGCAGTCTTCTGCATTAGAGTCCTACAGCTCTGAACCGCATCTTCAACAGCAAAACACAAGAAGCCCTGTTCTTTCTCTGCCTCTCTCTCTGTTTTCCTCCCCCATCTACCAATGATGACCCAAAGTCAGAAGCGCTGTTAACAATTAGGTTTCGGATCTCTTCATGCAATCCCCCCTTTGATGGGTGCCCCAAAAAACTTAAACCTCCCGTTGCTAGAACGTCATCAGGCTCGGAAACATGTAGGGCACGTAATACTTAGAATAGGGTTGTGGGGTATGTGCGTGTGTAGTTATATGTATATGTAAGTATATGTTTGTGACTGCTTGTGTTTCAAAACGAGTATACTAAGGAAACCTAAGAAGTTATAATTATGTTAAAAACTGTTCATAAGAAGTATACTCTGGAACCCTAAGGTGTGAGATCACACCCCAAGACCAGCCAGCAACCCTTTCAGCCCACAAGCTCCAAGCCCCAACCCTCTAATTGGACGGACACACCCTAAACACTAGAAGTTAGGATTAGGGGAACCCTTGGGGGTATAGACCCTCTCAATAAGTTCTCTTATTTAAGAGCGCCAAAAGTAGGGTTAAGAAGGGTCCCCTTTAAGGGGTGTCCATAATACTACCTAGGAAACACCAAGTGAATCCCGATCCTGCATCCGACTTCTTGCCGCGCTTGGCCTTCCAATCAAAAGCTCAAGCCAACGATTGGTGAGGGTTTGGGGCTTGGCGTTGTCGGCTTGGGTTTTATAAGGGTCTAGTCTAGATTGTGTGGGTTTAGAGTTTCGGGTCTTTAGATTTAGGCTTCAGGTCACAGTCGGTCTGCCCGCATCACAGCGGAAGTCGTGCAGAGCCAGCTCCGGAAACCCTTGCATGAGTTCTGCGAAGCTGCCACTTGCGGGTTTAGGGGTTTTGGGGGATTTGTCCTTGTGCGCCTCAAAAACTGCACTCATCCGGCAAAGGCGCTCTTCGTTTCGAGGAACAGCAGCTCACTTCCCCCCCGCTCGTCCTTCCAAAAGAAAACCGAGCATCCATTGGAGCGCGCGTCCACGGCTGGAGTTTGAGCCCCGGCAAGCTCTCTTTCATGGTCATCATGACACACGAGCCATTGTAAGGCGATCTCCTGCAGGCAAGATCTGCAGTGCTCTCTTCCCATCCAAAGCTGCCAGCAGCAAAAACCCAGACGGAGAACTTCCTGACATCGACAAGGCTATTGGGGGCCTTTAAAATTAGCATAGGGCTTTGGGGGCCCTTTATGGTATAGTTATAATCAAACTAGTATACCCTATATTGCACCGTGAACCCTGGGCTTAGGGGCCTAAGGTGCAGGAGCACCGGACAGCCCCTGTCTCTTGCTCTTAACCCAGATCAGAACTTTAGAATCCGCAGGCCCAGCCTAAAGCCCCCAAACCCCACAAACCCTGAAAATCCTACATCCCAAGGCCCCGAAGCCCCAGTCACCACCACCATCATGTCACCGTCACCGTAAGCATCTTATAACACGATCGAACTCCGTTTTTACAGCTTGTCCTTCACTTGTGCCCTAAACACTACATCCTAAAATGTCCCTGAAGCCCGAATGACGCCCTTGAGCGATTCCCTGAAAACCCAGCCGTGATAAATGATGCTCCATCCTAAAACTTTAACGACGAACCCAAGACCTTGAACTTTACCTAAACCCTTGAAGACTAAATTTCTAACTGTGATTCTTAACCCTGAAACACTAAAGTCCTAAACCCTAAAGTCATCCCTACACCCCTAAACTCTACAGCCGCCCCTACCACTAAAATGAGTAAATTGAATCTCCTCCAGAACCTGCCAACACCCAGCACCCTTGTAAACTGGCATACAAACCCAACACCTTCCGGAACCCGACAACGGAAGCCCTTAACTCATATTTTCACAACAAAACACACTAAATCGATGAGTATATGTACGAAAACAAACACACACACACACACACACACACGAAACCTGTAAATATAGATAGATAGATGAAGAATAAATAAAAACACGTTGACCAACTAGCTGACTAGCTAGCTAGCTAGCTAGCTAGCTAGCCAAGTAAGTAAGTAAACGAATAAACAAATATATAAATAAGTTAATAAAAACATAAGTATATATATGTATATATATGTACCTGAAACATGTTCATTCATAGTCATATGCTTATGATAGTGGCATCACCTTGAATTACGAAGGTAAACCCACCCGACCTTCACGGCTTTCCGCTTGCCAGGAGCCGTTTGGACCTCGGCCAAAAGCTCGGCCAAGGCCTCGTCACAGAGCCAACTCCCTGGTGGGGCGGGGGGGGTGAGGCCTCCTTTAAGAGCTAGTGTAAAGTGAGGGCTTCTTTGGCCATGTTGTTCGGTATATGAGGGCTCAGGGTTTGGGTTTGGTGTTTGAAGGGTGCATGGGGTCTTTCAGGTTTGCCAAAACGAGCGAAACTGTGTCGCAGAGCTTTTTGGCTTGATTGGCTTGTCTGTATTCAGGGGCATTGGTTTTCGCATAAGGTCATGGCAGGGAGGTAAAGCCCCGCAAGCGACCACCAATAGGAGCTTCAATAGTACTGCAGCTGTGCAACACTGCAAACACAGATTCGAATCCCTAAACTTATGCGGTGGGTGGGAGCCTGGGACAAAGCGTAGAGATGTACATGCGCACACACACACACACGACACATGCACCATGCAAGTCTGAAATATGTGCATGCACAAATGGAACACTTGCATGAACACATGCGTGCATGCATCCATCAACACATACTAGCAAGCTCACGACTACTGACTGGCATAATGCATTACTACATACTGACCTGTTGCCTGCTGCTTACTGCCTACCACCCGCATCACCCTCTACCTACTACCGGCTACCTACTGCCTACCGACTGTGACGAAGACCACAACAACAATGACAATGACAATGACGATGGCGACGACCGCTAGTACTCCTCTA